GTGATATTTAGCCTTAGCAATCTAAACAAGAATCGAAGATCTCGTTGTTAGTAGCGAAACGACGAAAAGTTAGGCAAGAACGGACGTCGGACGAAGAAGTTATGAATTTATAACGAAATTTTCTGTCCCGACCTATTAAAAAATAAATAATAAAAATAAAAGTCAAAATTAGCCAACGGAGTCTAAACGAAAGTCGAAGAGCGTAGTCTCACCTACGCGTGGATATAAAGAACGTCGATAACGGAGTTCGTATGAAGAAGATATGAATCTTCGAAGTTTATTAATTAATTAATAATTAAATTTAATTATTAAATCCCGGTATTATCCCGAAGGCGAGTCATCAGACTCATCCGAAGTACGCCTCGCGTACGAGTGTACGCCCCACGTACAGCGAAGCATGACGACCTTCGCACTCGAGTTCTTCGGATGACGCATGCAGTGACGAATTCGGACGCGTACGCCTGTACGCCCCGCGTACTCCGAGGCTCCAGCCTCCTATAAATAGGATGCGAGGGCAGCCGGTTCTTTTGTTCATTTTCTCTCTTCTCTCTCCCATTTTACATCGATTTGCGTGCCAGAAATACCCCGAAGCCCCGGTATTATTCTCGAGCCCCGAAGCAAGTCCCGAAATCCCGAAGATCCCGAGAAGTGCGGTTCCCGAGCCGAAGCTCTGCCCGCGAGAAGTTCGATTTTTGTGGAGATCTTCCAGGTCTACTGAAGAATACTACTTCTGCAAGTCGTAGTGTTGTCCGATCATCTTCTGATCAAGTGAGTGTATACTACCTTTCATAAACACGATAATAATACAAGTATGGTTTGAGTGTATTAAGTTTATTGTTGTTTATATGTGTGAGTGTGTAGTTACTTTCTTCTAACACATAAATATGACGTATTTGCTATGAAATACGTGCTATGTGTTTATATGTTATTTGTCTATTTGAGATGGGCATGGAAATTGGAGTTTTATACAGGTGTTAAATGATTTAAACTGTGTAAGTATTTATATCTACAAAATTGTTGGGTAGAACATAGGTAGATGGAATAGTTGGTGACTATGGAGTTAGCACCTATTGTATAAACCTTGGCGACGATGTGACTTCGTGCCTATTTGATGAACCTTGCCGACTATGGAGTTAGCGCACGTTGAGTAAACTTTGGCGACTATGGAGTTAGCGCTTGTTGAGTAAGCCTTGGCGACTATGGAGTTAGCACTTGTTGAGTAAGCCTTGGCGACTATGGAGTTAGCGCTTGTTAAGTGAACTTTGGTGACTATGGAGTTAGCGTCAGATAACTATGGATTTAGTACTTGATAAATAAGCTTTGGCAGAAATGGAATTCGTGCCAAATTCCTTACGAATAAATTAATGAAGGATAGTTGGTCCTTAGGGTAAAACCTTAAAAAGATAATGGGAATGGGTAATTGGGTTGATTGTTTGCTGATTACATATAATAATTATATTATTGTGGGTTGAAAACTCTATATGTTCACCAGGCTCCCAAGCCTGACCCACTCAGTTTTCTTTTCATTATAGGTAATGGCACAAGGGTATAAGTTGGTGGACTTGACGAGAGATTTTGGATTATAAATCAGTAATTAAATAACTTTTGTAAGGTCTATTTTATATTGTTTATGCTTTTAGTCTGTAACGAACATGACATCCTGAGTTTTTATTATTTAATGAAAATACATTCTTTTCGAGAAATGTTTTGATAAATGGTTATCATATTTTATTTTGGGAACAAATTCCGCAACCGTTTTCCTTAAACAATCACTCTGATTTAAAAAAAAAAAAAAAAAAGGCATAAACAAATCGGTCTTTTCTGACCGTGAAATTGGGGATGTCACATACTAAAACTACTAAAAATTCTAGTCCAAAATACGAATGTTACAACTTACAAGTACTCGAACCTTAAGAATGATTCCATTTCGCAATGACTAAGAAACTAAATCATAACATTATTAAAGATTAGTTAAAGTTGAACTGTTGAACCTAATATAATGCAAAGCTCGGATTTCTAATAGAGAAAACTATGGGTGTTCACAGTGCGGTTTGGTGCGGTTTAGAGTTAAAACCGCAAACCGCACCGCACATACGGTTTGAGTTTTTTGGAAACCGCGAACTGCACCACAAAAGCTCTAAACCGCATTATGCGGTGCGGCTTCATGCGAGCAGTTTGTGCGGTTTATTTGTGGTTTATGTAGTTTGATAAGTTTGTTTCAATTTATAACTTTGGTTGTTATTCATTCCATTTAAACACTTTCAAAGTTTATTAATTATATTGCATACCCTTTAAAAGGCATAAATATTGCAAACAAAAAAACCACATAATGTTTTGCTAAAATGTTATGATTTATGAAATTTGATATCATAGTCTTTTAAGCCTTTAATTACCATATTTAACCATCGGGATGTAGAAAAAAGTTATTTGACAGTGTGAACCGCGGTTTGGTAACTATAAACTGCAAACCGCACCGGATAATGCGGTTTGATAAAATTACAAACCGCAAACCGCGGTTTGGTCCTCCCACTATCTTCGACTTTTTTTTTTTTTTTTTTTTGTCTATTTCATTTTGACTCATTTTATTGAGTCTTCAATATTGTTAAGGAACTGCAAATTGCATAAAATAATATATTCATCCTACTCTCAATTTGTCACATTGCAATTCTTCTAGAAGCTTTGTCAAAGAAGACAACTTAGCAAAAGGTCCGATTTATATTATGTTTATTATCGAATAATGTATTAGATGTATCAATGGCTACATTTTTATAAGATTTACGTTAAAGTATATATTTTTGCTCCTTCTAAAAGATTAAATCTATATACAGTGGATATTCATGACTCCCAATATCCTTATTTTTAAATGATTTTAGAAAATAGCCATATTTTCATAATTTTTTCCAATAACTATTTTCTTTGAAAATTATACTACTGTTTATTGAAAATTATGATATTCAATATTTTTTTATTTTTCAAATATATTTTTTTTCTTCCTTCCTCCCTCCTCTTCTTTCCTATCATCTTTTTTTTTCTTGAAATATTCATTTTTCATACGAAAAATAAGATTAAACACAAGAACAAGTTCGATAATCATAAAATAGTTCGGAACTCAACCCAAAAACATGAAGATCTCTCTCTCTCTCTCTCTCTCTCTCTCTCTCTCTCTCTCTCTCTCTCTCACTCATGAAAGGACTCGTACCATATGCTGTTTTGTATATTTCTAATTGAGTGGGTTGAATGAATTTAAAAGATAAGATTTTCATATGTTGTGGGTTGAGAAAGATATTAAAAAAACAAAAAAGATAGCATGAAGTTCATATGGCAAGTAGGTTGAATGGGTTGATGTCATGAACCACTTTATATACTTGTATTCTACATTTTTTTTTTCACATCTTTGTTATTTGTCAAGTATTTGTGTGTTTATCGAATTCTTATTCCTAACATGAACAACTTAAATGCAATTTAATGATACACTTAATGTAAAATATTTTTTTTAAATAAAAAACATTTATAAGCATTTTGTAACTATTACAAAAAATTTGTAATTACTAGGTTTTGACGAGCTCGGATTGTTTCAATGATAAATCATATAATAAAAAACAAAATTAGGATAGTCATTTTCCCTTGTATACATAAATAAAGATTTGGACTAACTCACTGACATTAACAAGTTTTTGGTAAATGGATTAAAGCGTCAAAGATTCTGGAAGTTGGACTTCTAGAAATGCATAGGAACCTTGATTAAAAAATAATTCTAGTCAAACCTGCACGACCACAACCTAAAAACAATACTTTTCAACTTACATTAAAATACGTAGTTATTTTGGCAAGGAAATTTGTAATGTGCTACCTCTAGTTAGATTTCAACTAATGATTATTTATAAAGACAGTATGCAGAAAAGCATACTAATATCAGAAAAACTCTAATACTTTGTGTATATACAGAAAACCTTTATATTTTTAGTTACTTTTCAGATTAACCCAAATATCAAGATTTTTTAATAAATTACCGGTTTTTTTGACGTGATATTTATCTTTTTCGTTTTTAGGTTGATATGAAAATAAAAATAAATGATGTTGACTCTTGTCTAGGGTAATATATGAGAAATAAATCAATTATTTAAGCAAAAATAAGTGATGTAACTTCTGAAAAAAAAATATCTGGGTAAATTTGAAATGTGAATGAAAATATAATGGTTTTTCTATATACAAACAAAATATAAGGATTTTTTTTTTTTTGAATGTTGATATATAAATGGTTGGGATTTTCTGCATTTTACCCTATTTATAACAATGAGATATAGACCTTTGCTTTATTTAAAACCCTTTTTCAAATATATGGAAAACCTAGAGAGAGAAGACCAAGAGGGATGGAGTCAGGTACGGCGAAGAAAGAACTGCGGGAGAGATTTCGAAGTTAATGGGAAAGTTGTATCCTTTTATGTACAGAATTTCCCCCCAGACTGGAACGGAGTTGCATTATGGCGGATGTTTAACATATATGGGACCGTTGTTGATGTCTTCATTGCAAAGAATTTGGACCGCCTCAATAAGAACTTCGGATTTGTTAGATTTATACGGATCCAAGATCTTATCTCCTTTGAAAAATGAGTCAATGAGATTTACATCGGAGCACATAAGATTGAAGTCAATGTGGCACGATATCAAAGGATGGAGAACGTGAATCGCATAAGAAACTTTCAACCCACCGGAAGATTGCATGCAAAACCAGTAAAAAAACACACGATTACATGGCAGGTCGTTTGCTGATGCTGTTAAGGGGATAGCGCCAACCACAAACAATGGATCTGGTAAGTCAAGTAAAGCAGATGAAGGGTCGACCCCTACAAGGAAAGCAATAAATATGATATCCAGCCCAGAGTCAAGAGAAGCCATGCAGAACACCTTGGTGGGGGAAGTAGAAAACTTCCAAGCCCTAAGCTCTTCAGGAGATTAAGGGATGCCCTTCAATGCAACTAAGATATTTGGGAGGCCTAAAAATGCTTCTCGAATTCGAGAATACAATGGAAAAGGATGAGTTCCTAAATAATGGGAAGGAGATTTGGCAGCCGTGGTTCAAAGAGGTCACTACTTGGGACGTGGAAGGTAATTTTAATGAAAGAATTGCATCCATAATCATCCAAGGTGTGCCCCAACATGCATGGTGTGAGGAAGCATCCAGCATTATTTCAAGATCGTGGGGAACGGTGGTAATCCCGGAAGAATGCAATACAGATTCTCCAAATTTGGCCTTTGGGAGGGTTGGAATCCTCACATCCCACCCTAGAATCATCAGCTCTTCCATCAAAATCTTGGTGGATGGAAAATCATATCAGATAAATGTCATGGAGGATATATTTGAATCCCTTAAACTTAGCCTGGTGCTTACTACAAACGACTTCTATCAACGGATGTCATGGTGGGATGAAGATAGTACTGGTGAAAATGGCAGCCTCAACAGTGAAGTCCCGGTCCATTCTAAAGCTAGCTTACAGTCACCCGAAATATCTCCGGCGAAGTCACGTCAAGCATGGAAATGGGATGGGGAAGTGGAAAAGCCGCACCCCTTCATCTCCAGCTCGGAGGCCAAGGAAGCTCCTCGACTTTCTAAACCCTTGGAGTATAGTAAAGAAGTTGTATCGCCACTGCATCCGGATCCTTTTCCTCCTTGGGCCATAATAGAAGACGAACCCAGTCTCCACCTGTAATTAAAATCCCCCAACCCAATTTTCCTTTGGACCTAAATAAAGCCCCATCACACTCAAATCCGTCTGGTCCCATTGACATCTGCTCTAAACGCATCAGCAGGCCACCCTCTCTGATCCATCTACAACCACGCTATGCCCCCTCCCCCATATGGATGCCTTCCCCACCCCATCCCTCCGACGACTCCCAAAACTTGCAAGGGGATCTGTCTCGGTCTCAACACCTGTCACAGCCTGCAGTCTCTCAGACCCAACCGGTCGAGTCGAACGCTACATCTATGGAGGTTGCCAAGACAATCGATGTTGGAGAATCAGTTGGGTTCCAGGTAGGAAATCATTCTGATCAAATCAAGCAGATGATTAAATCTCGTGGAGTGACTATTATTGATCAATGAATATCCTCTCCAATAACATTCGTGGAATTGGGTGTGAAGTAAAAAGGAGTTGGCTCAGGGATTGTTGTATTCAAAATCACTCTTTTTTTGTTGGGTTATAGGAAACGAAATCCAGGGAGATAAAAAAATAAACTAGACAGGCAAATTTGGGGTTCTTCTAATTTTCAGTGTGAGGTTATCGACCCAGTGGGACTCTCTGGTGGAATTGCTTCCTTTTGGGATCCCTCTCTCTTCCAAGTCTCAGAATCAATTAAAGGTGAAGGTTTTCTTGCCATTAAAGGTGTGTGGCTGGGATCGAGGAAATCTTGTTGTTTTGTAAATGTTTATGCCCCATAGGAGCCTCTGAGGAAAAGGTCTTTGTGAAATAACCTGGTTGACCTCGTAAACTCAGACTCAGAATCTTGCTGGTTTGTCTTTGGAGATTTTAATGTTGTCCGGCTACCTGAAGAAAGACTGGGCTCCGTGTTTTGTCAAAGCAGTGCCTATTATTTCAATGAGTTCATACACTCTCTAGGTTTACTAGAAATTAAAATGGGGGGTCATAGATTTACATACATGAACTCATCTGGTGACAAGCACAGCAAGCTTGATAGATTTCTTGTCTCTCTCAATTCCATCGAATCCTGGCCAAATCTAAATGTCACAGCCATGCCTAGGGTGGATTCAGATCATTGTGCTATAATCTTATCTGCCTCTCAGTTTGATTTTGGTCCATCCCCATTCAGGTTCTATAATTCTTGGCTTAAGGATCCAGAATTTATGGGTATTTTAAGGAGTAGTTGGTCAATCAGTAATAGCTCAAGGCATCAACTGTATCTATCCCCTCTCTCCCTGGTTGCTAGTAAACTAAGGAACTTAAAGGAGCATATTAAGTCATGGAGGAAGGAAGTTATTGGGAAAGCTAGAAGGGTGATGGATGAGCTTACAACCAAAATAAACGACATTGACCTCTTGGCTGAGAAGGGACTGGTTAATAATGAATTGCTTAAAAGTCGACAGAATGCTTACCAAAAAATTATGGAAATCAAATTCGGGCGCATTGAGGACCTAAAGCAAAAGTCTAGAACCAAAGGGCTCTAGAAGGTGATGAGAACAGTGCATTTTTCCACGGTCTGATTAATAAGCACCAAAGATCTCAGAGGATAAACGGTATTAAGGAAAATGGTTTATGGATAACCGATCCTGTTGACATCAAGGAGAGGGTAATTAAGCACTTTGCCGAGAGATTCATTCAGCCTATTAAATCGCGCCCTAAATTTCTCAGCTCAAAATTCATGAAACTGCCCCCTATGCGATTGAGTTCTTAGAAGAGCCTTTCTCCCTCGAAGAAATCAAATCAGCTATATGGGCGTGTGGCTCGGACAGGGCTCCAGGGCCTGATGGATTCTCTTTCTCTTTTCTAAAAAAACATTGGGAGGTGATTGGTGGGGATTTCTAGCTTGCAGTGAAGCATTTTGAAGCTACAAGACTTATAGAAAAAGGATGTAACTCATACTTTATCACTCTTGTTCCAAAGGTTCAAGACCCGATCACGATAAACGATTTCCGTCCTATCAGCCTAATTGGATGTTTATATAAAACAATCTCAAAGGTCCTAGCTGAACGGTTGAAAAAGGTGGTACATTTTGTGGTCAACACAACACAAACAACTTTCTTTAAAAATAGAAATATCCTGGATGGGCCTCTTATCCTTAATGAAGTCATTAGCTGGTTAAAGAAGAATAAAAAGAAAGCTTTCACGTTTAAAGTAGACTTTGAAAAGGCTTTCGATAGTCTTAGCTGGGAGTTCCTAGACTCAACCATGCAACAAATGGAATTTGGGGCTAAATGGCGAGCATGGATTCGAGGATGCTTAGCATCAGCAAGGGTCTCGGTCATTATTAATAGGTCAGCAACAAAAGAATTCGGTATGGAGTGTGGTGTTCGGCAGGGGGTCCATTATCCTCGTTTTTGTTCATCATCGCATCTGAAGGACTTCATGTTGCATTAGAACGGCGAAAGAAAAGGGCGTATTTTAAGGTATCCAGCTTCCCCACCATGGGCCAGTAATCTCTCACCTTCAGTATGCTGATGACGTAATATTTATGGGATCATGGTCAGTGGAAAACACGAAAAACCTTATCAGAATACTAAGTTGTTTTGAACTGTCATCGGGGCTCAAGATTAATATGTCAAAAAGTAAACTATATGGGTTTGGTGTTCAAAACTGTGAGCTGGAATTGGTGGCCTGTAGTTTCAACTGTTCGATTGGTTCTCTCCCTTTTACCTACTTAGGTCTTCCAGTTGGTGCTTCTATGGCTCGAGTAACCCATTGAAAACCTATCATTGAAAAATTTCAAGCGAAACTATCTAGATGGAAAGCTTCCACCTTGTCGTTTGGGGGTAGATTGACCCTATGCAAAGCTGTTCTAAGTAGCCTTGGCTCATTTTACTTCTCTATATAAAAGGCCCCTGCAAAGGTGATTAAAAGTCTTGAAAGAATTCGGATGAGGTTTTTTTGGGGAGGTTGCATGGAATCAAGGAAAATGGCATGGGTCGCTTGGGACAAGATTCTCGTAGCTAAAGAAAAAGGTGGGCTCATTGTTGGCAGCTTAAAGGCACAGAATCTTGCTCTTTTGGGAAAATGGTGGTGGTGTTTCAGAAAACAGCCTGAAAGCATATGGGCTTTGGTGATTAAAGTCATTCATGGACCCAATGGAGGAGTGTCTCGCCCTATGGCCGCAAAAAGAAGAAACAGTTGTTGGGGTTCAATGGCAGGCCTGCCAACATCATTAGAAAAGGAACATGTGCCATTCTTAAATTACTTCCAAAATATATTAAATGTAGATGGTTCATCTAAATGGTTATGGTCACTTGATCCCTCGGGGGAATATTCTGTTTCTTCACTGCGAAATCACATTGATAATCTGGTCCTACCTCATAGTAATGACAGATGGATATGGAACCCACTGGTGCTAGGTAAGATAAACATTCTAGCTTGGTGAGTCTGCCAAACTTCCATGCATGGAGAACCTTTTTAAGCTTGGCATCAGTTCTTCAGATTTGTGTCCGATGTGCCATGAAACCCCAAAAACGGTAGATCACATCTTTGTGGGATGCCCGACCTCAAAGGAAAGTTTGGTTGCAGGTATGCAGTTGGTGGCAGTTACTGGAACACTCTCCTAACTCTTGTAGAGAGTTGTTAGATTGTAAATACTTGGTAGGAGGACATCAAAGGCTGAAGGTGGTTCAAGAGGCTATAATGTTGGTTTTCTTATGGGTAATTTGGAGATTCAAAAATAGCAAGACTCATGCCCTGAACTCAAATTCCTTATCAAAATTGGTACTGGCATATGAGGTACAAGCACATTCGCACTTTTGGATCAATGCGCGGAATCGGAAAGGACAAAATATACGATGGATCGAGTGGTGTTGCGATCCAATCTTGGAGTGCTATTGCAGGATGTAGTCAATTTTTCTTTTTCTTTTTCTTTTTCTTTTCCTTGCCATTTTATGTTGCTTTGTTTGTTTTGTTCTTGGAACATTTTGTACATCCTAGCCCCTGGCTAGCTTTTCTTAATATATGTCTGCCGTTCAAAAAAAAAAGATATTGGAACATTTTGTACATCCTAGCCCCTGGCTAGCTTTTCTTAATATATGTCTGCCGTTCAAAAAAAAAAGATATTGATGCATACATTTATTACATGATTCAAATTAAATTCAAACTCTGCCTATATATGTGTAAAAAAAATTATTGATGCATACATTTATTACATGATTCAAATTAAATTCAAACTCTACCTATATATATATATATATATATATATATATATATATATATATATATATATATATATATATATATATATATATATATATATGTAAAGATGGACAAAACAACCGAGTAATTAAATGTACGGGGATTTGAAACTAAACAACCAGATTAGGAAATCTTCGGATAAATGTAGGAGGATTTGAAACTACAAAATAGTAAAATGTTATTGATTTACATTATTTTTATTCAAACTTATTACAAGTATATTATAAAAGCCATAATCATTTCGTTATTTCCTTCAGATTATTTGAGCAAATTTCAAATAATGAAAAGGTATCATCAAATTAACAAAGAAGATCCTAAGCTATTAAATCTGACACATTAAACTGTAGCGGGTGTATCTACATTTTTCAGATGATAATACTTGTCAAGGAGCTTCTCTGTGTACTCTCCGAATGTAAGCAATTCATTAGCTTGTATCAACTGTATTATAAAAAACAAAAATTATAGCACAGCTTTCGTTTATTAAGTCATTCTACTTTGAAATTTTAACCAAATTATAGCTTTTTTTTTTTGTACTTTGAAAAATCTACCAAATCATAACATCAAAAGGGTTAGTTATTACTTATTAGTATTACTCACCTCCTGATTGACATGCCCCAACTCCGGAAAATTAAGTTTTTCATCCCTGAAAATTAAAAAATTAAAAAATTAGCATCAAATTATATTCTAACGAATGTTAATTTATAGGCGATATTACCAGTCTGGTTGCATAAAAAATGCAAAAGTTGAACGTTCAAGTCCTGTTGCTTTTTCTCCTTTTGGTGCCTGCAATTAAAAAATAAATTTTGCATTTCCATTCCTACATTTAACTAAATGAAAAAATAATAATAATTAAAAAAAAAAAAAAAAAAAGTCATGTGAACATACACGAACACAATGTGGTGTTGCACAAAGACGACCTCTTGAAAGTATTTCGGTTATGTTGCCAATTTGGTATGCAATTTCATCCTCCTTGTACACCACCTAATCCAAAATATACCAAATTATTATTTCAAGGGAAAAAAAATGAGAAGGGCATTTCCGTCTTTTGCCAAAGAAAGAAAGAATATAGATATATATACTTTGACTATTTGACCGGTTCTTGTTTTGATATAAAGACCAGCAGTATTATCGGGGCATGGTACTTCTACACCGTCTTTGGTAAACATGGCATATGTGAGGCCTACATTTTGAATTCAACCAAACATTTAATTTTAACTCAATTTATCAACATAATTTTTTTTTCAATAAATCATCGAAATATGTTAACATTTAAGGAGAGTTGTTTTTTTTATTTGATGGTTGCAATCTAGAAAAACACGACTAAATATGGAACCATTTTTACACTTATAAATTGTTGAATGCTTTTAAACTTTTTACAAATAAATTAACTAGAGTAAAAAATAAAAATTAATGACTAAAAAATTGTGTACCAGTGAGAGAACCATGATCTGTATGCCAGCCACACCATGATGACATGGAGTCATTATCATCAACATCATTACTACAACAAAAATAAATAAATAAATAAATAAAAGTTATGTTTACACATCAAGATTGGCCCAAATGCCCTATTTCATTAGGGGTTTTAACATTTTTGTTTTGTGGGTCTTGTTTATATGATACTTGTAATATTGTAATAAACTTGTAAACGTGTAGATGTGAAAAGACTATTTTACCCTTTTTCAGCAGGAAAGTAATACAGCAAACGACCTTTATGACACCGAGAACGAAACACAATCTGCTCAATCCCTTCATTGGACGGCATATCTATCCCATCCAACACTGTTCATTAAAGAAACAATTACATATAAAAGTTCATAGATTTACAAAAATATTATTAAATTCAAGAATTAAAATATGATTATGGATGATATATTATAAAGAAAGTTACCATATTTATCACAATGATAAGCAACAAGTAAACCGACATCAAGAATAAGCTTTCCAAGAGCTTTAAAAGCTACACGCACAGCAAAAGATAAATTATATCATATCAACATTCTAAAATGCTTATGAAGGGGCAAAATGGTAATTTCAGATTCATGAGTATTAAACATACCAACTTCAAGTTCAGGCAATGCACTTTGAGGCCAAATATTTGATCCACAGTATGCAGGGTACCTGTGAAGCAAAGGATCATAGATTAGTTGCAACCAAAATCTAAACTAAAACAATTACTAATGGGCAAAAGAGTAATTTCATATTGAAACTTCTACAAAATAGGCCGAGGGTTTCAAGATTTTACCTCTGAAGTAGTAAAGCATCAGTAGTAGGTACGTCTAATAATGGATTTGCATAAAAAGAGCCTTTTAGGAGATCTGCATAATTATTAATATATAACCATCAAATATATATGTTATAACAGTTTATATTATGGTTTTATCTCATTTTTTTTTTACTTTATACATCTTGTCATGTTTAAGCTTTTACCTGGTTTTCCAGACTCAAGCTTCTCTTTTCCATGGCTCCATCCAAAGTTATATCTATATGTAGTGAAATTTTACAGATATGCGATTTCCTAATTTTAAAAATAAAAATAAAAATACATTGCTTCTGAAATATACAGGTTGTTTGTGGTAACCTGCTTTGAGGATCTTCTAGATCCTTCTTCACCTTTTCAGGAAGTTTGGCTAAAATAGGAGCAAGATTTAGAAGATTTTGTCTCAATAAAGTGTACCCAGGAACCTACAAAAAATGTAGAGCAGTTTCAGAAATCAATGAATAACTTAAAGTCTAATATCATGATAATGATATGCACCATATTTAGTAGGGCTAAATGTAGGATATAGCATCCTTCTTTTATTTCTAAAATCTATCAAATTATAGCAGTGAAAATTGTTGTATTTGGATGATATTGCTATAACTATGTAGATGTTTCAAAGTATAATGCTATAATAAATAAATCAAGGAAAGTAGATTGTTATTTCTTGCAAATGAAAGTTCAAACTTCAAAATTATGTGGTTATAAGCGGATTGACAGATTAAATTAGCAAGAAATACCACTAAACTTTCATACATCAGATATTGATATAATTCCCAATCCATCTGGTCCAAATCCTTCTTCAATTTTCATGGACAGATCAGCATCTTTATCCTATTCACATGGGTAACAATTAACAAATAAAAACAAGGGTCAGCATATTAAAGAAATACAAACAAGATTCAAACAAATTTTTATCAGTTTACTAAGA